TCATTGTTCCCCTACTTCGCTAGTGAATAGCTTTTCAAAACCAAGGGTGGATAAAGTGAAGAAATCAGTTGTGGCAGAAAAGAGCTCTGAACTTTCGAAGAGATTTGCTGGAGAACTATCCAAAAGGTATGAAAGCTTAATGTAAAACTGGCTTTGAGTGGGGTGAGAGGCAATGTTGCATTTCTGTTAATATGCAAGTTTTTTTCTAGGCAATCATCTGCCATTAATTCTTTTCAATACTGAAATGTTTGGTTCAGTGTTAACAAATTATTGTGTAAATTCTGTTGAATGTGATTACAATCAGTTGTACATTTTTTTGAAACTTAAATTTATTCCATTCCATTTCTGCAGCAATTTGTGGTTGCTTGCAAGAAAATCCATACATATTCACTGTTTGCTTAGGAAAATTCAGAAAGAGAAATAAGGAATGAATGTGTTTCTAAGGTTTCCTGGTTTAGAAGTTGTAGGTTTCCTAAAACTACATTAAAATGCAAATCAAATGATTATTTTCCCCATTTCTTGCTAACCTATTTTAATTTAAGAGTAGCACTGTTGAGATGGGAATTATCTGTTTTAATACCTGTACCTGAAGCCATACTTCATCCATTTCACAGTAAATGTTGCATCCACTGTTGATATTCAGCATGAGTTCCGAAAAAGGATGATAGCTGATAAAGAGACAATGTAGGGATGAAATAGTAGCATCCTGTTAAAGTTACTGCTTTAGCAACATTGCATGCATGTGACTATAAGCAGTAGCTGGCAACTTGTATGTGAAGAGTTGGACAGTTTAGCTAATTAGGAGTTGTATGTTGGGGACGAATAATTGATTAAGAACAAAAATTTCTGAATGTTTTTAGATGCAAATAGAAATCAAAAATGTTCTGATGTAAAAATAGTTCAGTTAGGCAGAAATTATTAAACAGATAAGAATTTTTGCCATTGGCACTTGTTAAATATTGCAGTACACTACTATTGTTAAATTGGAAAAATGTATTAATAAGTCAAAATTAGAGGAAAAATAATTACTGTCTTTTGTAAAAAAAAAAAAACAAAAAAAAACACCTTAGGGTGGAAGGGGGGTCCCTGATTAAGAAAGAAAGATTCAGTAGATGGGTGTTTGCTTGTTGCTTTTTAAAAAATTGTATAAATTCCTTTTGAAACTTAAGTGGAATAAAACCTGTTCTATTTAGGTGCAAGCAGAGACAAAAATTATGCACCACTTTTCATTATAGAATAATTCTTCAATATTGAGATGAAATTTTGCAGGTTTTGAAAAATTTGGATAGATCAATATTGTTTCCTATTATTTGTGGTCTGTTACGGTAAAGCTTAATAGAACATAATATTAATACCATACAGTATAAGAGCCAAAAGCAGTTCAGAAAAGAAGCCTAGGTAAAGGAGTCCTGATATGTTCATTAAGGCAACTGTATTTTCAGATCACAGCAGATGGCAGTATGTACAGGTAGTTCTTGGCTTGCGTCCATTTGTTCAACTGTTTAAAGTTATGGCAGTGCTGAAAAAATGGACTTACAACCAGTTATCAAAGTTCTGGCTGTTGCAGCATTCCCATGGTCAAGTGATTGCAATCCGGGCACTTGAGTGGTCAATGGGGAAGCCAGCAGGAAAGGTCTCAAGTCACCCCAAGTAATTTGCTCCCATTGCTTTTTCTCCTGAGGAGCCTGCTATAGAGAATGAGATCCCAGGGATCTCGTACTCTGTAATGTGTGTCCACCCACAGCACTCAGCCACAGCCTCCGCCAACCCACCCGAGGCCTGTATCAGCGCTCCTGTGGCCTCCGCAAACCTGCCCAAAGCCTCTGTTGGCCCTCCCGCAACCCCCACTGACCTGCCCACACTCCCTAGTGCCTGTCTACAGCACCCCCTCCTACATGCCTTCCCTGTGCTCCTTATCTGGAACTCCTGCCTCTTCCCGCTTCCTGAGATTACAACGGCAACCAGGACTGCCAGGATTGCCGTCGCTAAGTGATGTGGTCACGTGACATCTCGCTTTATGACTGCATTATAAATTGCCTTCATAACCCGAGGACTACCTGTAGTGGTTGAACTCACAAGATACGTAGGATTGTATATAGTATTAGTATGATACTAAGATATCCCAGAGTGGTTGATTAAACTGAAGAGTTTAAAAATAAAATCTACAGGAGGGTAGTGGCAAACCATTTCCATGTTGTTGCCAAGAAAACTCAATCGACACCTCTGGGTGGTTGCCACAGGTTGAGGTTAGTTTGAGGAAATCTTTACCTTTAGGATGGAAGTCCACTCATTCCTGCTGCAGGGCTACCAACAGGATTTGACATTGTTGCACATCTGCTCAGGCCCATACATCCTAGGAGAATCACTACCAACTTTAGGAACTTCCTGCCCCCATTTTGCCTTTCCAGCAACATTGCTTATTCATTAATTCCTTCTAAGCAGTTTGTAGACTTCACACCAAGACACAGCAGTAAATGTTAGTTCTCTTACACTTAACCCGTTATTCAGAAATTGGCTTAACTTGGGAAAAGGCTCTCAGACATGACTCAGGTACATTAGAAACTTTACTGCAGACAAGAATTAAGCCTTATATACAACAGATGATTAGCCCTCTGCAGTACAAAGAAGTTAAAGATTTGATATAGGTCAGTGCTCCAGAGTTGAAATTAGAAAATTTCCTTGCCCCTTTCTAAATTAATAGATACCTGGCAATTCTGATGGCCGTGACAGGCAGCTGAATTATATTTACATAATGACTCTCTTTAGCTTGTAAGCCAGTTCTTGCCACCTCAAAAGATTCAGCCTGTATAGGATATAATGTTAAAAATGGAGGTGGTTCCTTTTCTACTAGCCCAGTAGACTGTGGTAAGCTTCTTCCTCATTCTTCACTGAACGTATCTATATATTTTACTTTCATTAGAAATAAAGTGTATTCCTAAAAATGCCTTATTCTTTTAAGTAGATAACCAATATGATTTTGATCCAGAGGGTTTCACTGGATTAGCTATTTCAAATTCTAAATTCACTATATATTTCAGTAACCATTTAACATTGTCATATGCTTCAAGATGCTGCATAAATACATCTTGTGAAGCATAAATAGCATGAACACAAGCTTCTTGTGAAGCATAAATACAATAAATATAAGCATAAATACAATATTGTGAAGACCCTATGTGCAACTTGAAGACACCTTAGCCCCTACTAAAGTCTGATTTCAATGTCTTTATCCTAAACATACTAACCAAGTATGAACAAAGCCCTTCCCTCTGCCCCTCTTCACTTTTGATTTCTTAACTGTCTTGCCTGATCATAAAATAGTATGGTCTGGAGAATTCAGCACATTTAAACAGAGTCATCAACAGGGCAAATGGCCAGGGTGGGGTGGGGGTTGAGGGAGTAACAAAAGCGCAACAACCTCCACAAGTGACATTGCACGTAAGAAAGGGGCAGACTTTCTTGCATCACAATAATATGACTCTGTTTTTGTTACTTTTCCAGAAGTGCTGGATTTTGTGTATGCCTTTGCATTTAGTAAGTGAGCCAGATCTCTTTATCAGTAGTTCTGGCCATATAGTCATACTAAGTGAGTCAAAAATCACCTTTTGAGGGATACATGGTCCCTTCCCACATTCTCCTGGTATTTTGTGATCTCTTATATCAGGAAAATTATAGCAAAGCTTTGTGGCATCACTAGGCCCTTACCCTCTGAGCAAGTAGGCAGGCAGTAATAGTATAGCTTGATTAGGGTACTCAAGTGTTTAGGAGGAGGTATGTTCTATGTTACCAGGTCTTGGCAGTGGGTTCTCTAATGGTGAGGCTAAATTTTTAGCCATTCTTTCTCTCTATTTCTTTTTCTTGGAAGACATGGAATGCAAAATGGGTCAATTGTTGAGGTTTAAATATTCCCATGACACACCTGAATAGGTGGAGTTAATTTAATCCTATGTATGACTGGGTTTGTTTTGTCTTAAATCTAACCCTGGGTGTTGATTAATTAGTTCAATTAATCTCTTTTTGGTGTTCTCATAACATACTAACTTCCCTTCTCTGTTGACCCTGGTAAAAATTTTGTGGGAACAAGTTCAAAGGCCTGTATGCTATTTTGTAACTTCAGATTGTTCTAATAATAATATTGCCTTAATACAGATTTTTGAATGCTCTAAATAAGTCAACTAACTAGTGTGCCTCATTGTTTTGTATAATTCCTGATCATTAGGTTAAGAATTGTATCAGTTCAAAGCATTTAGCAACTCCCAGAAATTCTAGTAGCATCAGCAGTGAGTTTTCACTCAAAATAACTGGAGGGTGCTTACATACCTATTCTAAATTCTTTGTGTAGCTATTGCTTGGTGGAATAGAAAACTTACAAAGTAGAATAAAATACTAGTTTCATTGAAGATTTGAAGATGCTGTAGCATATTCTTTCTGTCTCATATATGTATCTGAGAGAGCCAGTATGATATAATGGGTAAGCATGGAGACCAAGATTTTAGGCTTTCCTTAGGCATGGAAGCTGGCTGGATGAGTTTAGTCCAGTCATTCTCTCTCAGCCCTAGACAGCCCCCAATATTGTGAATTTTCCTTGCATATTTTTTTCCCCATGGGTTTTTCTTTGTGATAATTTTGACTGCCACCCATTCTTTTTCCAGTGTAAGAGTTACTTCTCACACTAATAGGGTTGACACTTATCAAAATAGTGAATAGATGGACACTGCCTCTTCTTCACAAAAGAGGGGAATGTCTGGCCTTCTATCTAGAAAACATGGAAAAAAATAATTTTGCTACCCCAAATTGCTTATATATAGGTGGTTCATTTGAAAGCAGAATATTTGATGGAATTGTTGTGTTATAAGTTTCACCTTCCTCTCTACTGTTAATTAGAGCTCCTGAGTTCCCATTCCTTAGATTAACTGTTTCCATCCCAGACTGTTGGGTTTGCCAGTGGAAAAAACTCTTGTATAATTCTCTTCATTCTTTCTTGTATTTACAACTCATAGCTGGTCCTGTTCTGGGTTTGATCTAAATGAAATCCGCTTGATAGTGTATCAAGACTGTGAGAGACGGGGCAGACAAGTCTTGTTTGATTCTACAGCTGTCCGAAAGATTGATAAGACACAGTTTCAGGTAAGTTTTTATTATTTTTTTCATGTGATAAAAATTATTTTGCAATTGTAAGTAATGTTTTATTGCATTTGATCTATTAACATTTACAAGAGAAATTAAATTCCCCCACTTAATAAAAAAATATGAAATTAAAACAAATAAATAATATAGAATTAGGAAAAAAGTAATGGAATAAGGGTAAACTAAAGCATTATATATATATGTGAGTGTGTGTTTTAAAAAGCTCACAGCAAACTAATATTAAATCACATTGTCTTTAGTCTATGGTCTGTAGTTCTTGTTAGGTGCTTTGCTTTATTAAGAGTAGTAAATGTGTTAACATCCTTCAAGCAAAATAAAATAGATAATTCAACAAGGGATATTAAGCACTCTCTCTTATTTTAATATCGAGAGCAAGAAAGAAAATATACTCCCTTAATTTTGTATCTCTGTCTTAAGAAGGCAGAGAAATCTCACTTAGGAAGTTGTTTTAAATGAATAGCTGCATGTAAAGTATCAAATGTGGATAATGAGAACATTCTTAATTATAAAGCATAAATTCATATAAGTAGCTTGTCATGTCTCACTGGAGAATAAGTAGAAAAATAAAGATAAGCCTGCCTCAAATCAAGCTCAACCCATGATGACTTCATGGACACTTCCTTGAAGTTTTCACGGTAGGAATATGGAACTGATTTGCCATTGCATGTTTTTTTCAACTAGCCTACTTTGTGTAAGACCTCCCATCCAAGTACTGATCAGGCCTCACAGAGCTTAGCTTCTGAGCCAAACGAGTTCAGTTAGGTATTGCCACTTCTAGGACTAGGGGATAAGTACCATTAAATAGGTAAACAGGGTTATGCAAAGTGCAAAAAGAGTCGTTGGTGTTCATTGGTAGTAAGTAGAAGAAATTAAAGGCAAGAAACAAGAAGAAAAAAAATCTAACCCTATTTTACACCAGTAATATTCACTAGAACTCTCCATAACTTTCTACCATAGAAAACTATACTGCCCATTACTTTCTACCATCATTTGCACTTCTTAAAATTTCTCCATCCATTTCCCCATTTTTAATGAACATTCTACTAAGATGCATAAATTCATCAACTTTATAGTTTTTCACCATATGCATATAATTTGCTGTCCTTTTCCCCTATCAGACACAACTACCTTAGTCTTTGATACGTTAATATTCAGAACCATAGTCCTTGATCCATTATATGATCTGTCTAACATTCACTGTAAATCATTCAGGTACTTGGTCAAAAACTTGACATCATCTGCAAAGCAAAATGCCAACATATTAACATCCCTATTAACACCTCTAATGACCAAGGAGACACCACACAACTCTGTCTTCTTCCCTACTCAATGGTGAATTATTTACTAAGTATTTCATTTAGTCTTATGCATGCTTTACTTTCATCATATATTGCTCTTACCACATTCAGCAGACAACCAAGCCTGTTCATAGCATCAGACACTTTCTCTAAATCCACAAATGTAGAATAATTTTTCTGCAAATTTGTACATATCTGTGAAGGAATGGTTGGATGAAGGCCACGCTCGGAGAGATAAGCAATCCCTTAGCCCCCAACAGGAGCGTGGGAAGTTTAAGAAGATGAGACTGGCACCACCCTAAGGAAT